GAGGGCATGGGGGGGCTGGGCCACAGTCCTCATCTCGCGTGGGCGGGCTCTGAGGGGGGTCCCTTCAGCCCTGGGGGAAAGGGGCGGGCACCCCGGCTCCGCCCCGCAAACAGGGTGCTGCCTCCTGGCGGCCAAGAGCCACCAAAGCAGGTGATCCAGATGCGCTGTGGCTTTGCGGGCGGTGTGGGTCACCAGAGAAAGAGGACCAGGCGAAGGCTTAATCCGCGGGATGAGACACAGGGGAGCCGACCAGAGGAGGGGGACCCAGAACGGGAGGACAGTGTGAGGCTGGGACACAGGGTAGGGGAAGAGGGTCTGTCAAAATGGGGGCCCCCGGAGGGTGTCAGTGGGAGGAGGGGGCAACAGGACACCTGAGGGATGGGAGGGTCAGGAGGCAGACACCTGTAAGAATTGCTCTCCTTTACTGAGCACCTCCCATGTGGCTAAGCAGCCTCTTGTCATCCAACATCCTGCGACCCCATACATTTACTCTCCTCAATTTACAGATAGGGAAACTGGGCCCAGAGGGACCCAGAGGTCCTAGCAAGGACAGGAGTCCTTAGCTGGGGTCCAGCTCTGATGGTCTCCAGAGTCCGTGCTCCTGACCACTGTGCCTCACTGGGTGTCCAGGGTGTGGATGGTGGTGGCGTTGGAGACAGGGTCCCTCAGCACTCAACGCCATAGCGGTCGAAGTTGCGGAGCAGCAGGCTGATCTCCAGGTGCACGGTGCCACCAGCAGCTGTGTGCAGGCGATAGCGGTCGGCCCCACTGTAGATGGTGTCCCCATGCAGCAGCTGTGGCCCACCACCCACGAAAGCCCGTGCCAGCTGCTCTCGCCAACTGCCCAGGGGCCGCCAGGTGGGGCAGGCCAGCTGGTGTGTGCCCGGGCTGCTGGGCACATGGCAAAATCCATAGCCTGCAAGCTGGCAGCGGCCAAAGCTGTCCTGGGACCACACCTGGAAATGGAGCCGGGGCCAGCCTGCAGGAAAGCAGGGAGAGGGGAAAGGAGGGATGGGCGGGGACCAGACTCCTGCTCCTGATTCCCCCCTCCCTGATACTCACCGGAGACCCCAGGCCCAGTCCTTTCCTTTCTGGGTTTCTGTCCCAGGGTTTCCAACCCAGCCTCCTTTCTAGACTCCCATCTTCTCATCTATCCCCACACAACTGCCAGAGATCTTTCCAAATCCATGTTACTCCCCCTGCTAAGGATCCTTCCATAGCTCCCCAGTGCCCTCAGTATAAAGTCCAACCTCTTCAACATTCAAGGCCCTTCTAATCAGACCTCTGCTGAATTTCCTCTGTGTTATCCTCCTCCGTGACCCCATGTCAGGGCAGCCCATTGCTCCTCCAGTCCCCAGGTAACCATCGTGGGTCTTGTCAGGGTCACCTCCTGCCTTCTCTCCTCATGTCCCTGCCCTGCTCTCTTTGGGCCCAGGGCCTTCTTTCTTGCCCCTCTCTAATCCACCTTCCACCTGGCATCTGGAAGCATCTTTCCTTCCATAGATAGCTTTGCCCATGTCCTCAGAACACAGTTCAGCTCCTCAGTCTAGTAGTCAAAACCCTTGGAGATCCAGCCCCATCTCATCTCATCTCATGCTGACCCCTTCCCCTGTGCCAGGCCCTGTTCTAGCTAGCTGGGGACACGGCGGACATGAACATGGATGGCAGACAAAAATTCCTGCCCCTGTGAAGCTGATATCCTAGACAACAAATGTAGTAAATAAGCAAATTATAGGTTAGATCGGATGGTGGTAATTGCTGTGGAGAAAAACAGAGCTGGGTAGGGTGAGGGTGGGGATATGGCTGTAGAAGGGGATCAAGGAAGCTTCACTAAGAAGGTGACATTTAAGCAAATGCTAAAAGGAAGGAAGGGAGTAGGCCATGTGGCCATCTAGAGGAAGAGTGTTCCCAGCCAGAGGGAACAGCAAGTGCCAGGGCCCTGAGAGGGGAGTGTCTGGTGGGGACGGCATGGCCGGAGCCCCGACAGAGTGTGCCTGGTGGGGATAGCATGGCTAGAGCAGAATGAGGTGAGGAGAAGGGAAGGAGGTGCCAGCCAGGTTGCGGAGAGCCTTGTGATGCATGCTAAGACTTTGGCTTTTACCCTGAGTGAGATGGGGACGACTGGAGGGTTCTGAGCAGAGCGGAGATGGGACCTTAGGTGTTCACAGGGTTCCAGCTGCATGTGGGGTGCAGATTAGTGGGGGTTGGGGAAGGGGGCCCCAGAGACAAGATTACTGTCATAGTCCAGGTGAGAGATGAACTTGGACAGATCAAGGTGCTGGGCAAGAAAAGGGTGAGAAGTGGGATTTAGGGTGTATTTCAAAAGTAGAGGCAGTAAGATTTCCTAATGGACAAAATGGGGGCTTGAGAAAAGAGAGAGCAAGGCTGGTGCCACCACTGGGGAACCGGAGGCCCCAAGAGCTGAAAGATTAGAGCTGCCCACCTCACCCGCACAGCACCGGAAAGTTTTTCTTTCCCCAGCTCCAGCTTAAAGGACAGAAAGATTATTTAAGAGTGAAATCTCGGCCAGGCGCGGTGGCTCACACCGATAATCCCAGCACTTTGGGAGGCCGAGGCAGGCGGATCACCTGAGGTCAGGAGTTCGAGACCAGCCTGACCACCATGGTGAAATGCCATCTCTACTTAAAAGAAAAAAAAAAAAAAAAAAGGCAAAAATTAGCCAGGTATGGTAGAACACAGCTGTAGTCCCAGCTACTCATGACGCTGAGGCAGGAGAATTGCTTGAACCCAGGAGGCGGAGGTTGCAGTGAGCTGAGATCTTGCCACTGCACTCCAGCCTGGGTAACAGAGCAACACTGTCTCAAAAAAAAAAAAAAAAAGAGTGAAATCTCACTTGTCCATCACCTGCTCTGGCTCCCAAGTGCCTTCAGGAGATGGCCTCAGCTCCTCGGCCTGGCACTCGAGGTCCTGCATGAACTGTCCCCTGCTACCTTTCCCTGCTGCTGTCCCGCTCTCCCTCAGTCCGCTAGACACCCTTGGTTCACTCTCCCCTTTGAGTCTTCCACATGTAGCTCCCTCTGCCTAGAACCTTCTTCTATCCCTCTGCCTTATTAGCTTCCAGGGGCCCTTCACAGCAAAGCGCAGAAGCCCCCTCCTCCAGGAAGCCCTCTGTGACCTCCCTGACAGAGTCAGGCACTTCCTGTGGGCTCCCACGGCCTCTCCAAATTGCCTATCTTAGTCCTGCCCACTCTGAGGTGCCACTGTCTGGAGAGAGGTGTGTCCTCTCCATAGGATGGTGAACTCTGTGAGGAGAAGGCTAAGGGGCACTGCCTTGATCCCCAGTGTCTCCCTGGCATCACCCAACACAGGCTGGACACAGGGCAGGCACCAGGTAAACATTCTTTATATTGGTGAAATATACGGCACATTTACCTAGGCAATTTCTCAGAATCGACTCATCTTCAGGAACCCACATTTCCTACCAAAAGGTTTTCTGATGCCGCTCCTCCCCCAGTACTGATTTCCCCTTTGAGCAGTGGCTCTACTTTCAAGCCGAGGAGCCCTTCCTGGACAAACAGCCCTTGCCTCTCTCAGACCCTGCCTCCCGGCTTCCTCTTTATTGGAAACTCTCGGTTTGTCTCTTTACTTGAATGCCACCTTCCCTCCCACCCTGACCCC